ACACACACACACACACACACACACACACACACACACACACACCTGTGTACAACTGTCACAATCCAGCTCAGGTTCACACATTTATACACTTTGGCAGAAAAACTGAGGCTCACTGTATTTCTGGAGAGAATTTGGGCAATAATACAATAGGTAATAATAAGCAAGTAAATAACAATAGAAATCAACATGTGAATAGAGGAATAGTCCTGAAAGTGAAGGGAGCACAAGATTAGAGAAGTATGTATGTATAGTCCTATTTATTTTCTCCTTTCCCTTTTTTCGTATGTCAATGTAATTGTATGATATTTTGGGTATATTTTCTTTATTGTTTATTAATAGATTTTTTAAAATAGATACATAATTTGAATTTAATGCTGTGTGTAGTTTAGATATATTTTCTAGCTAATCAACAGTCAAGACTGGGCAATTGTGAAAGAATATGTATATGCTCAGTAGTAAACAATGAAAAGTCCACACAGACAGTATTACTGACCTCCCCTTCTGCCAGATTTGAAGATCATGCTCAAATTATCTAAATAATTGTTTAAGAGTCAGAAAGGATACGACACAGCCTAAAAGCTAAGCACTTTTACAGCACAGTCCTTATGTATGTTTACTTAAGTTAAGTCCCACTGCCTGGAGTAGACCTTCCAGCTCTGATCCCAGCGATTTCGGCAAGCAATCGCAGGCTGAAATCAACGGAACTAGAAAAGCGCTCCCCTTTAACCCGATTCACAATACTGTAGTATTGTTTAGACAGGATCCGCCGTATGGTTCAGCTGACCCTTGTCAAACAAAAGGCTTCTTTGGGCGCTCGCAGAAAGTACTTTGCCTCCCTAGATGGAGTCAAAGCAGATAAGCTCCCCGCTCTTGCTTTGCTACACAGTCCAAAGTCGCTCAGCAGCTGGAGCGCTTTCGGGCGGTTCAGAGACCGTGTTAATTTCAGGAAAGCGTTTCCTGAAGGGGACACCACGCGTACACAACCTTTCCAGCTTCACAAAGGCAACCCCGAGGATCACCAGTCGAGGAGAAAGCTTCCCCTTATCTTCTTAATCCTTTTCCTCCAAAAAGTAGCAACCTAGAGATTTCCTAGTAATTTCCGTGGAATTCCCCGGGGGGGGGAAGGGGGAAATACCTTCGCTCCCCAGTGCCCAACATGTCTAGAAAATAAGCCTCTCTCTTAAAAACAGAGGATTTCCCAAGCTGTTCAGCTTCAGGCAGCCCTGGAGCACGCTCCCTTTCGCGACTGGCGAGCCCTTCCCAGTCTACGCAACTCTTTTGAATTCCTGGACTTCCCAGGAAATGATAATGTAAGGAAGTTTAGCTGCCGTCGGCCTGAACGCGGATCGACACGGTCCGGGGAAAGGGGCAGATCCTACGGTTTACCCCCCTGTTCCGAGTTGCCTGCCCAAGCTCCGCAGAGTGCAGAGGAGCTGCGCGATCCAAACAAGAAGCCCAGGCAACGACAGCTAGTAGGGCGTCGGCGGGCTTGACAGCTGCGCAACCCTCGCACCCAGCTCCGGCTAGATGTCCCAGCCCCTGCCCTCAGGCTGTGCCCAGGAGATCGATCAGGGGGTGGGGGGGAATCGATCTCTCGATCGCTTCCTTTCCCCCCTCCTCGCCAGCCCGCCCAGCTCCCTCCCCTCCTCCACGCCATATTACCGCCGGGGAAGCCGCAAGATCCGCACAGCTTAGCCACCGCAGCCGACTCGGTGCAAGGCAGAGGAGGAAGCCCCGGCTGGCGCAGGCGTCCTAGGAAGCCGGCGGGGTGAAGATCCGCCCCTTCGCCCCATGGCCCGCTCCTTCCCCTCCGGGGAGGCGGGCGCGGAGGAAAACGGTGCCTTAGGGTGCTTCGGGCACCACCGCCACTCTCGGCGGTGTGCAGGCGTCACTTTCCAGATCCCGCTGGCCTGCAGCCCCGTTGCCACCCCCTCCAAGCCTCCCGCCTTTGACTAAGTTACCCCCCCCATCCTAAGGGGCTGGGTATCGCCTGCTCCCATATGAGCGCCCTCCC